AGCCCCTCCATCTTGGACGGTGTTATGTGTAGCTCTCAGTATTGTAATGCAAAGTAGATGTCTGAGGCCAGTGTTTTTTCTGCAGTGTTTCTGTTTGTTTCTCTGTCAGCACTGGCCTCCAGCCAAGGTCCTGACACCCACACTGTGGTTACTGCACTCAGTCAATTGACAGGGAGGAGGAGGAAAGGAGGAATGGTGGAAGAGAGGGAGGGTGGGGGGGATGGCGGGGGTGAAAAAGAGGCCTACTTCATCTTTATGCTCAGCAAAAAAGAGCAGGCAAAGTGAAAATCACAGCCATGTGAAAGGTGGAAGTAAAACAAGCATCCTGGCTAGTGGCTTACATCATATTCTATAATCTGAAGACTGGATTTTTCTTGCACTATTTTTCTCTCTTCAAAAGTTGTTTGATAAAGCTACAATCTAGGATTTGTGTGTCAGCCCAACGGCAGTCCCACCACTTAAACTGAGGGATTAGGCTGGAGAACTGTAACCACTTAAATTCATTGGCACATTTTGGGTTGCAAAGACAGTTCATGATATCAACATCTGCAAATATCCCAGACTGCACCTTTAAGAGTATTTTTTTCAGCCTGACCAATCTCAGGTGGAACCTTTAAACCCAATGAGACACGTTGCATTAAAACATCCCATTAATTTGACTCCTATCCGGTGTTTAATGAAACCTGTTTATTCAGTTTGGCTTTATTGCTTGGCCTTTCTGGGCAATTCCTCTGTAATCAAGCTGATTTACTGCACTGGCTCTCACCGACCACCAAGTGGATAATCTAAATCAGAGGACTGTGAGTACGCGTCCCAAATGGCACCCTATTCCCTATATAGTGCACTATTTTTGACCAAGTCTCTGGTCAACAGTAGTGCACTATATAGGGAATAGGGTGCCATTTGGGACAGAGGCTATATACTTCCTCTCCTTTAATACCAGGCATTATTATTGTCTTGGTTTGTTTGTCTTCTATGCTTGAAGGGATCTTGAGTCATTTGTAATGAAAGACAACAGCTGGTCTTTGGGGAGAACTTTCAGCTGTCTGTTTACTGCCTGGTACAAGGCTCTTATAGGGCCCGATTCAGACTTAGGAAATGTACGCCTTTCCTACGCACGCCTTTCCTACGCACTTTTCAGTAGTTGCTATTCAGACTTACCTTATGAAGGTGCACAACGGGCTTTGCAGGTGTGGTTCCCTTGTGCAAGCTGAATACATTTAATTAAACCACTGAAAACCCTCCCACTTGCTGGCCAACACATTTTCTTGTGGAGTTTTCATTCAATAGGGTTTCAGTATCTAAAGCCATCCCTTTAAATTTGGTGTACCTTTAATTTGAATTTTCTCGACAGACTCGAATATATGGAGAGAATGGTTCAGAATATTAGGGATCAATGAAAGAAATCCATATATGCATATTCGTCTCCTTTTCAGCACCAATTGGTAGATTTAAAAATACTCTGATGTTGTATATTATTTAGGTTTGGAGAGCCTTTACGCATTAAATATAGATGAATCAAAAATGGTTGGACGCTTCCTGAAAGTTGCCATATTCCATTGTTCAATCCATGAAATATTAGAAAGTTAAGAAAAGTGTACAATAGAGATGGTGGAAAGATGGTGGAATTACAAGGGAATTAAGGCCAGAATACGACTTATCTGTAGACACACCTCCACCACACCTTCATTTATTCGACCTCCACCCCAAACGAATAGCAGGTAAATAGCATGCTATTCTCATGTTGGAATTCAAGGTCAGAAAACATATAGAGAGAAAGGTGTATAAAAAAGGAATGACCTTCCATTTAGGCGTACTTAACTCAGGTCGGAACTCCCCCATGGTGCCTATGCTGCCCATAGTTTGTGTTGCTGTCCATGGTGCTGAATCTGTCCATGACGGTGATATTGAGTCTTAGCCACAAATTGCACCCTATTCCCTATATAGTGCACAACTTTTGACTGGGTCCATAGGGGAATAGTGCACTATGTAGGGAATAGGGTGCAATTTTGGACACAGATAGACCTGGAAGCTATATCACTCCATATTCATCTCTCTAACAGGTGCCTTCATTTAAATAATGTACATATATTCTTCCCTATCAACTTTTAGGCCGTATTAGCATTATTAAGATGTTCAAGATGGGGTTATGGATTGTATCTAACACAACTCATGATAATGTAGTAGGCCACTCCGTGAGAATTAATGTGCTGTCAAGTGATCAAGAGCCAACCTTTACAGACTGGAGTGTGAAAAAATAATTTCCATGTTATTTCCTTTCACCGTGGAGGTTTAACAACAAAAAATGACCACCTGTTGTTGAAGACATCATTGAAAGTAACTATTTTGCCAAAAATGATTCTGGACTTGAAGAGGAGAAGATATCAGGAGGATAAATACCCAAAGTTTTACAATTGAACCAAAAAACGATGCTCCACTGCTCCATTGCCTCCACAATTGTATTTAGTTGATAAATAATGACTGGCTGATAGAAGATGCCAGAAATATCAGCCAAAGACAACAGGCCTCATGTATTGTCCCTTTCCGTGATTACATTTACCCTGAGCAAATTTTTATATGTTCTGTAGACAGAGAAATGCTTATTCGAATAAATTGCTCTTCTTTTAGGATGAGGAAGATAAGTACCTCACAGCCTCTAGAATCCTCCAATTCCCATCCTGACAGGGGAGTATTCTGTGGGCTGCATCAAACACAGATTGTAAGCTATTTTCACTGAACAAAAACTGGTTGGATCAACATTGTTTCTATGTTATTTCAATCCCAAAAATGTAAAGTGATGACGTTGAATCAACCTGGAAAACTGATTGGATTTGCAAAAAGTAATCAACATAAATTTGAACCTAAACCCAATGTCATGGTGACATTTTTTATTTATTTCACTTTGAATTCCCATTAGTTGACAAAGAGAGACGTTGAACTGACATCTGTGCCCAGTGGGTTTTTTCCTTTTTTCGATCAGTTGAGTAGAAAATACAATACCACCAGTTAGTTGTCAGCTTATCCCCCTGGCCTTGTGTTCCTGACTCCCCGAGCTGTAGTCACGAAATGTCCTCAGCTAAGTTCATCAATCACAGAGACAAGGCTGCTGAGAAACCATGCTCAATTTGAGAAACGGCCTGCTGCCATCACCCCATTGTACTTCTCTTTGCCTGTGAAGATGTAAGGGTTGAGAGCTGTGCCAAAGATCCCTGTCTCCTATTTCTCAGCCCCCCAAGTCTCAGACATACAGGGGAAGCCTGTTGGTACAGTCACCCTCTCCCTCCAACTCGTTTCACATTTCAAATACTGCTCGAGTAACACCCAGTTAATGCCAACATCTCTGGCAGCCATTGTTAATTTTTTGTGCTGCCTGGCATACTTTCTCCCAGCTCCTAGTTCTGCTATTGAAGCTTGGTTTAGTTAAGAAATCAAGACGTGTCGTATTTTGCCTCTACTTTTCTCTTACAGGAGTAGTTCTCAGAATGTCTAGGCCTAATGGCAACCGGTTCAAATCAAGTGTCACCGTGACTGTGACGTTATCCTTTAGGAGACGTGGACAATGTCAGCGGATACAATAGTTAGTGCAATTTCTTAATTGTTTGGCGCTGTCAAACTGTTAGGTCATGTAAACTGTACTATCATGTCCCAATTTTGAAATCAGTAGTTGGTGCATTTAGTGTGAGATTAGACGAGGCTTCCAGTGCCCAGCCATCATTGGGGAACAGGGGCAGACTGGCCATAGGGCAATTCTGGCAAATGCCAGAAGAGCTGGTTCCTTATTTAGTGAAGTGGGCCTGTCTACATGTATTTATCTTTTTTGTTGTTGTGCAGAATGACCATTATTTGGCTAATAATGGGGGCTTCAAGAAAAAATTGTCCATGTGGGGGCCTTGAGTGAATAAATGGGCTGTTAGAAATGCCCAGGCCGATTTCTGGTCCCATTCCGGCCTTGGAAACCACTCTCAGATTATTCAGTACTGATGATAATGGGATAATAACATCATCAGAGGTGAGACTGCTGAGCAGTGATCCCTGGTGATTGTCTTCTCAGAGGCTGTTGCGTTTTCGAACAGCCAGTTGATGACTTAATCCCTTTGTTGGGGCTCCTGGGTTAGGCTGTTCACTGGTGGCAGCAGTAGGATCCATATCACTTTTCCTGTAACTGCTCTTATCGCTAACTATTGATTGGACGCTGCCGCCTGAGTGGTTTGCTGAGGGACTAACTGAGGGTGTGGCCTGAGTGGGGTCAACTGGGGGTGAAGGAGGTAATGTCTCTGAAGAGCCAGCTCTCGCTCTGGGCTGCAAGTGTGTGTGTGTGTGTGTGTGTGTGTGTGTGTGTGTGTGTACCATGGGTAAGGCTGCTTAGATGGAGTCAGCTTTACTTGAATTGCTGTTTGATCTGGCTTTGGAATTTAGCGTTTTTACCGGCGTCTTGGATTTGTCTTCGTCCAACGTTTTTTGTTAAGCTTTTCGGTTCAGACGGCGTTATCTGCTCTACCACGCACCTGTCTGGTAAGGTTGAACGCCTCCTCTCCTACTCAGCCTCCCGACAAAAGCTTCTCCTAAGCGGGTGAGACACCTACTCCTATTGCCTGCTGCCTGCTGCACTGCTGCTTGGATCCCACCGGGCGATCTGCTCCACGTCTGCCCTGTCTCCCCCTGTCTGGTACAGGTACCCCCGCCACACTCCCCCCTCTCTCCCGAGCTTTCGCTCGCCTCCAGCACACATGCACATACATACATACAGGGTACACAGACTCTTGGCCTCCCATCCCATTCTAACCCTCTCTCGCCGGCTTTGCTATTCAATATGATCTTGTTGCTATCTGATGCACATTTAAATGTCATAACAAATCAACACTGCAGAGCTCTCCCTGTCCTCTGCCGTGCCCTGATTGTATAACTGCTGATGATATCTGGAAATGTGCATGTACACCCTGGCCAGTCTACTGTTGCTAGCCCCAATTCTGACTTGAGCTCTGATGATTTCTGCTTCACAGATTTCTGCTCTTGTAAAAGCCTGGGTTTTCTGCATGTTAACACTAGAAGCTTATTACCTCAAATGTATCAATTGAAAGTGTGGGTTTACAGCTCCTATCCAGCCAGATGTATGGTACTTACTGAGACATGGTTAAGAAAGAGTGTTTTGAACACTGATGTTAACCTTTCTGGTTACAAACTTTTTCAGCAAGACAGATCTTCCAAAGGTGGTGGAGTGGCAATCTTTACCAAGGAACACCTTCAGTGCTCGGTTGTCTCCACCAAGTCTGTCCCCAAACAATTTCATTTGCTGGTTTTAAGCATTAAGTAAATAGCTCTTTGTTGACTGTTGCTGGGTGTTATCGTCCACCATCAGCACCGGCCTGTACCCTACCTGCCCTAAGCTCTCTCCTGGCCCATTACACTAAGTCAGATGTTTCCTGCTAGGTGACCTAAACTGGGACATGCTTAAACTACCTGTGTTAAAACAATGGGACTCCCTAATGTCACGCTCGTTCAATGACGGGACGGACCAAGGCGCAGCGTGATATGCATACATGTTTATTTAAACTTAATAAACACTCGACAAAACAATAAACGAAACGAAACGTGAAGTCCAAGGTAGACACAAACAACATACCTATTACGGAACAAGATCCCACAACCCACTAGTGCCAAAAGGCTGCCTAAGTATGGTCCCCAATCAGAGACAACGAGCTATAGCTGCCTCTGATTGGGAACCACACCGGCCAACATAGATCTACACATAATAGACCTACAACATAGAATATATACACCCTGACTCAACAAATAAGAGTCCCCTGAGTCAGGGCGTGACAGTACCCCCCCCCCAAGGTGCGGACTCCGACCGCACAACATAAATATAACAGGGTAGGGGCCGGGTGGGCATTCCGCCTCGGAGGCGGATCCGGCTCGTGGCGTGACGACCTTTCACTCTCCGCCTCCCTGTTGCGCCCCTGGTCAGGTCTGGAGCCGCTGACCGGAGCTGGACTGGGCACCGGTGGAGCGGACTGCTCTGGCTCCGGAGTGGAGCCGCTGACCGGAGCAGGACTTGACCCCGGTGGAGCGGACTGCTCTGGCTCCGGAGTGGCACAGCTGACCGGAGCTGGATCAGGCACCGGTGGAGCGGACTGCTCTGGCTCCGGAGTGGAGCAGCTGACCGGAGCTGGATCAGGCACCGGTGGAGCGGACTGCTCTGTCTCCGGAGTGGAGCAGCTGACCGGAACTAGATCAGGCACCGGTGGAGCGGACTGCTCTGTCTCCGGAGTGGAGCAGCTGACCGGTGCCGGACCAGGCACCGGTGGAACGGGCACGGGCCATGCCGGACTGGACAAACGCACCACAGGCTTGGTGCGAGGGGCAGGAACGGACCGGGCCGGACTGGCGACGCACACCACTGGCTTGGTGCGAGGAGCAGGAACAGGCCGGGCCGGCCTGGCGACGCGCACCACTGGCTTGGTGCGAGGAGCAGGAACGGGTCGGGCCGGACTGGCGACACGCACCACTGGCTTGGTGCGAGGAGCAGGAACAGGCCGGGCTGGCGACGCGCACCACTTGCTTGGTGCGAGGAGCAGGACTGGGTTCCTTTATAAACCCCCGCTCCTTCTGCTGCCTAACCAGCTCCTCTCGCCGTGCCTCTACACCTTCCTTCTGCTCCCTCTGAACCAATAGCCCCCGTAATCTGGTGGCCTCCTTTCCTAACCAGCAGATCCATCCTATCGCGGCCTCCTGCTGCCTCGTCGTCCACACCGTGTGCCCCCCCAAAATATTTTCTTGGGGTTGCCTCTCCACCCAGATCCCTTTCAGGGCCTCCATCTTCCTTGCCAGATCCTCTCTTATCTCCTGCCAAGTCCATCCTCTCTGCTCCTCCTCGGCACACTGCTTGGTCCAGGTCTGGTGGGATCTTCTGTCACGCTCGTTCAATGATGGGACGGACCAAGGCGCAGCGTGATATGCATACATGTTTATTTAAACTTAATAAACACTCGACAAAACAAGAAACGAAACGAAACGTGAAGTCCAAGGTAGACACAAACAACATACCTATTACGGAACAAGATCCCACAACCCACTAGTGCCAAAAGGCTGCCTAAGTATGGTCCCCAATCAGAGACAACGAGCTACAGCTGCCTCTGATTGGGAACCACACCGGCCAACATAGATCTACACATAATAGACCTACAACATAGAATATATATAACAAAGAATATACACACCCTGACTCAACAAATAAGAGTCCCCTGAGTCAGGGTGTGACGCCTAAATCTATCTCAGATTAATTCCAATCCCACAAGGTATGACTCCAAACACCCAGAAAAGTCTACTCTCCTTGATTTTATCCTCACAAATAATCCTGATAGGTATCAGTCTGGTGTTTTCTGTAATGACCTTAGTGAACACTGTTTTACAGCCTGTGTTCATAATGGCTGTTCTGTTAAACAACCTTTCCTGATTTGTCATAGACGCTTGCTGAAAATGTTCAATGAGCAAGCCTTCCTTCATGACCTGGCCTGAATTTGGTATAGAGTCAACTTGATCCCCTCTGTCGAAGATGCTTGGAACTTCTTTTTTAATATTTTCAGTGGTATTGTTAACAAACACGCCCAATAAAGAAAAAGAGAATGAAATACAGGTTCAGCCCCCGGTTCGACCGTGATCTGGCAGAGTTACTCCACCTCAAGAACACCATTTGGCAAAAGGCTCGGCACACAAATACAGACAAATGAGAAATAAGTGCACTCAGGCTATCCGGAAGGCCAAAGTTAGTTACTTTAAGGAGCAGTTCTCTCTCTGTGGGTCTAACCCCAAGAAGTTCTGGAAAATGGTGAAAGACCTGGAGAATAAACCCTCCTCCTCACAGCTGCCATGTCCCTTAATGTTGATGATGTGGTTGTTACTGACAAGGTCACTGAATCTGAGGTGCTAAAGGAGCTCCTTAAACTAAATTTAGATACTTTCTTCTTTAAGGTTGCAGCCCCTATCATCGCCGAGCCTGTCTCTCACCTTTTTAACCTGTCTCTCCTCTCTGGGAAGGTTCCCAGTGCTTGGAAGGCAGCCATGGCGCATCCTTTATTTAAAGGGGAGATCAAGCTGATCCTAACTGTTATAGGCCAATTTCTATCTTGCCATGTTTATCAAAAGTGTTGGAAAAACTTAAATAATCAACTGACTGGCTTTCTTGATGTCTATAGTATTCTCTCTTGTATGCAATCTGATTTCCGCTCAGGTTATGGATGTGTCACTGCACTTGATTCTAAGCAATGTTGTGCTGCTATTTTTATTGACTTGGCCAAAGCTTTTGATATGGTAGACCATTCCATCCTTGTGGGTCGGCTAAGGAGTATTGGTGTCTCTGAGGGGTGTTTGGCCTGGTTTGCTAACTACCTCTCTCAAAGAGTGCAACGTGTAAAGTCAGAATATCTGCTGTCTCAGCCACTGCCTGTCTCCGAGGGAGTACCCCAAGGCTCGATCCTAGTCCCCCACGCTCTTCTCAATTTACATCAACAACATAGGTCAGGCAGTAGGAAGCTCTCTCATCCATTTATATGCAGATTATAGTCTTATACTCAGCTGGCCCCTCCCCGGATTTTGTGTTAAACGCTCAACAACAAAGCTTTCTTAGTGTCCAACAAGCTTTCTCTGCCCTTAACCTTGTTCTGAACACCTCCAAAACAAAGGTCATGTGTCGTAATCGCTCCTCTTTCACCCTAGCTGCCAAATGAACCCTGATTCAGATGACCATCCTACCAATGCTAGATTACGGAAATGTAATTTATAGATCGGCAGGTAAGGGTGCTCTCGAGTTCTTTACCATTCGGCCATCATATTTTCCACCATGCTCCTTATAGGACACATCACTGCACTCTCTGTATACCCGGCGCAAGACCCACTGGTTATTGATGGTTAATTAGCAAACACTCTTAGGCCTCACTCCCCCCTATCTGAGATACCTACTGCAACCTTCATCCTCCACATACCACACACTTTCTGCCAGTCACATTCTGTTAAAGGTCCCCAAAGCACACACATCCCTGGGTCGCTCCTCTTTTCAGTTCGCTGCAGCTAGCAACTGGAACAAGCTGCAAAAAACACTCAAACGGGACAGTTTTATCTCCATCAATACATTCCGAATCAATCATGGACACTCTTGCTGACACTTGTGGCTGCTTCGTGTGATTTATTGTTGTCTCTACCTTTTTGCCCTTCGTGCTGTTGTCTGTGCCTAACAATGTTTGTACCATGTTGTGCTGCTACCATGTTGTGCTGCTGCCATGTTGTATTGCTACCATGTTGTGTTGTTGTCATGTTGTGTAGCTGCCATGCTGTGTTTTCATGTTGTGTTGCAGCCATGTTGTGTTGCTGCCATGTTGTGCTGCTACCATGTTGTGCTGCAACCATGTTGTGCTGCTACCATGTTGTGCTGCTGCCATGTTGTGTTGCTACCATGTTGTGTTGCTGCCATGTTGTTGTCATTTTGTGTTGCTACCATGTTGTGCTGCTGCCAAGTTGTATTGCTACCATGCTGTGTTGTCATATGTTGCTGCCATGTTGTGTTGCTACCATGCTGTGTTGTCTTAGGTCTCTCTTTATGTAGTGTTGTGGTGTCTCTCTTTATGTAGTGTTGTGGTGTCTCTCTTTATGTAGTGTTGTGGTGTCTCTCTTGTCATAATGTGTGTTTTGTCCTACTTTAAAATACAAATAATCCCAGCCCCCGTCCCCACAGGAGGCCTTTTGCCTCTTGGTAGGCCATCATTGTAAATAAGAATTTGTTCCTAATTGACTTCCCTAGTTAAATAAATAAATCAAAAAAGACAATAAATGTGAGTGAAAGAAAAGCAGAAGAACAGTATTCAGTCATAAGGGTCAAGATACAGAGAAACAACACTAACCTATATATTCCCAGTTACAGTACATGGCTCTGATTTCAGACAGAAGGCCAGAGCGTGTCAGCACCTCTCTGCTTAAGTGCTTTTTGAGCCTATTTAAAGCCTAATGTGGCCCTGCTGTTCCGTTCCATAAGCCTGATGCCAAACAGTTTGCACAACTCAAGATCATATTCTGATATAGCTAAGACATGTCAGGGTTAGAGGTAGTCAGGTATAGAGGCTAGTCCATTAGTCATACGAGTTTTTTCCCTGGCCAGGGATTGCAGTTTTGGACAGTGCTGCATAAATTTAATCACACAGCCTACAGCACTGTCCGTACAAAGCCTACAGCACTGTCCATACAAAGCCTACAGCACTGTCCGTACAAAGCCTACAGCACTGTCCGTACAAAGCCAAAATCGCTGACTTGCAAATCAAACTAGCTACTGTAATTAATTCTCAGTGATACATGGGAGGGATTTTTACGCAACTGATTACACAGAGGAGAATTGAGATGAATGATAACATATCAACAGCGGCACGTGTTTGGGAGGAGATGGCTGAGGTAGCCCTGAAGGTAAAGTGGTGGGAGCGCGTGTAGGAAGAGGGGGAGGATAGATCAGCAACACAGACATGATTAATCAATTTGATCCAAACAACAGTGAATAATTACCTTTATTAAAGTCATCGGTGCTGACTAAGGAATAATCCACTAACCTTAGGGGAACAATTAGTTTATATCTTGATTGAACATGGGGTGGTTAATTTCCTTATACTGTATATCCCTCAAACTCAACTCTTGACCTCAAAGCCAGTTCCACTACATTTTTATTTATTGTTGCCATCTAATCAGGGACTGATTTAGACCTGGGACACCAGGTGGGTGCAATTAATTATCAGGTAGAACAGAAAACCAGTAGGCTCCAACCCTCATAGGGTAAGAGTTGAATACCCCTGCTGTATTTCATTGGACTGGTGCCACGACCGATTTATAATGGATTAGGAAAATATATCTAATTACAAAAAAATATAATTGACGTCATGTTGGTCCTTTGTAGCTCAGTTGATAGAGCATGGCGCTTGTAGTGGGTTCGATAAGTAAGTAAGCATTTCACGGTAAGGTCTACACCTGTTGTATTCGGCGCGTGTGACAAATACATTTTGATTTGATTCCCAGGACTACCCATACGTAAAATGTTTGCAGGCATGACCAAGTTGCTTTGGATAAAAGCGTCTGCTAAATGGTATATATTAGATACAGTGGGGAAAAAAAGTATTTAGTCAGCCACCAATTGTGCAAGTTCTCCTACTTAAAAAGATGAGAGAGGCCTGTAATTTTCATCATAGGTACACGTCAACTATGACAGACAAAATGAGAAAAAATAATCCAGAAAATCACATTGTAGGATTTTTAATGAATTTATTTGCAAATTATGGTGGAAAATAAGTATTTGGTCAATAACAAAAGTTTCTCAATACTTTGTTATATACCCTTTGTTGGCAATGACACAGGTCAAACGTTTTCTATAAGTCTTCACAAGGTTTTCACACACTGTTGCTGGTATTTTGGCCCATTCCCCCATGCAGATCTCCTCTAGAGCAATGATGTTTTGGGGCTGTCGCTGGGCAACACAGACTTTCAACTCCCTCCAAAGATTTTCTATGGGGTTGAGATCTGGAGACTGGCTAGGCCACTCCAGGACCTTAATGTGCTTCTTACGAAGCCACTCCTTCATTGCCCGGGCAGTGTGTTTGGGATCATTGTCATGCTGAAAGACCCAGCCACGTTTCATCTTCAATGCCCTTTCTGATGGAAGGAGGTTTTCACTCAAAATCTCACGATACATGGCCCCATTCATTCTTTCCTTTACACGGATCAGTCGTCCTGGTCCCTTTGCAGAAAAACAGCCCCAAAGCATGATGTTTCCACCCCCATGCTTCACAGTAGGTATGGTGTTCTTTGGATGCAACTCAGCATTCTTTGTCCTCCAAACACGACGAGTTGAGTTTTTACCAAAAAGTTATATTTTGGTTTCATCTGACCATATGACATTCTCCCAATCCTCTTCTGGATCATCCAAATGCACTCTAACAAACTTCAGACGGGCCTGGACATGTACTGGCTTAAGCAGGGGGACACATCTGGCACTGCAGGATTTGAGTCCCTGGCGGCGTAGTGTGTTACTGATGGTAGGCTTTGTTACTTTGGTCCCAGCTCTCTGCAGGTCATTCACTAGGTCCCCCCGTGTGGTTCTGGGATTTTTGCTCACCGTTCTTGTGATCATTTTGACCCCACGGGGTGAGATCTTGCGTGGAGCCCCAGATCGAGGGAGATTATCAGTGGTCTTGTATGTCTTCCATTTCCTAATAATTGCTCCCACAGTTGATTTCTTCAAACCAAGCTGCTTACCTATTGCAGATTCAGTCTTCCCAGCCTGGTGCAGGTCTACAATTTTGTTTCTGGTGTCCTTTGACAGCTCTTTGGTCTTGGCCATAGTGGAGTTTGGAGTGTGACTGTTTGAGGTTGTGGACAGGTGTCTTTTATACTGATAACAAGTTCAAACAGGTGCCATTAATACAGGTAAAGAGTGGAGGACAGAGGAGACTCTTAAAGAAGAAGTTACAGGTCTGTGAGAGCCAGAAATCTTGCTTGTTTGTAGGTGACCAAATACTTATTTTCCACCATAATTTGCAAATAAATTCATTAAAAATCCTACAATGTGATTTTCTGGATTTCTTTTCCTCCATTTGTCTGTCATAGTTGACGTGTACCTATGATGAAAATTACAGGCCTCTCTCATCTTTTTCAGTGGGAGAACTTGCACAATTGGTGGCCCACTAAATACTTATTTTCCCCACTGTATCTGAAAGTAAATAGGGCTATAAAGCAACTAAGAGGCAGCTTTGATATAACATTTGTTCAAAATGGCCAAATAATGGCAGTCAACCTCGATATTAGAAGGCACAGACAAAACAAAGGGGACTTCAAAGCTAATTATGC